CGTAGTTGGCTTAGGAGTTTAAAAGATTTGGAACATTTGATCAAAAAAGAGAAAGAGATTAGAGAAGTAAATTTAAAAAGATTCTGGCGCCCCTGTTGTATTTATTTATTTGGACCAGGTGGATCCGGAAAAAGTGGATTGGTGCAAAAATTATTCAGAGAAAAACTTTATTCTAAACCTCAGAAACAGAAGAGTGGTTCAAATTGGTGGGATAATTATTTAGGTCATGATATAGTTTTTTTTGACGAATGGTATACTTGTTTATCATGGAGGGACATTGTAAAGTTATTGAACGATACCGATGAATGTGTTGAGATTAAACACAAAGGTTTTACACCTTTTTTAGCGAAATATGTCTTTATGACATCGAGAAAAGCTCCTCAAGAAGCATTCAATTTTGAAAATGGAAATGTTGTTGATAATGCAACAGTCTATCGAGATTATGGACAGTTTGAACAAAGATTAGATTTTGTAATCCAATTTACCAGAAATTGGAATACTGGGACAACTCAAATCCATTTTCTCAAAGGATCAGAAGAGGATTTTCGAAATATGAATTGGAAAATCGAATTTGATAGAGGTGAATTTTCAGATGATCAAATAGTTGAAAAAATTAAAACATCAGGTTTTAAAGATGGAGAAATCATTTTCGATAATGAAAAAGTTTTATGACATCAAAATTTTCCAGAATTTAAAAAAAAATATCTTCGCGACTATCCAAATAGTAAACCTTTATATGAATATAAATTGAAACTTGAGAATCCTATTGTAGAACCAGACAATTTAGTTTACGATTTTGAGATGAGCGAATGTGATTCAGACGATTCAGATTATACAAAAGAGAAAAAGTTAAAAAACAAAACCAATGGCAAACGTAAAGCAGACCAATTAGAGAAAGCAGTTGTTAAAAAAAATAAATAATAATTTTTATTTTATTAATAAATAAAATAAACTAAAAGTTTATTACATAACCGTTTCTATTTCCTGTTTTCTTATCATGTTCTAATTTGAAATCTATTGCTTGTTGTTTTAATTTAAACCATTTTACTTTTTCTTTATTATGTTCAAACCAACGAAATCTATAAGTATTGTGTATTTTAGAAAAAGAAATTCCATTATAACCAGAAGTATTATTTTTTGAAGTTTGTGATTTAAATTATTTTCTCGTGGAGTTGTTTTTCTAAGATTGCATTCACGATTATCGAGACCTATTCTGTTTTTATGATCAATCATCTTGAAATTTGGATAAATCAATCGATAAAGTTTTTTATTTTTTTTAGAGACGGTGGTTCGAATATAATATATATTGCCTATTTTATCACAACTCCAAGTATATTTCTTCATTATTCCATAATTTTTGATATCGATCAAAAAAGTGATTCCTGGGTTTTGTGTCTCAACCTCAAAATAATCAATATTGTTAATTGATACTTTTCGAATTCGATTATAAAGTTTATTTTTATAAGCGCCAGAACCATATTTTCCGAATGTCCAAAAAGTTTTGATTATGAAAGTTGGATGAATTTTCTTCCATAGCGAATTTTGAGATTCAGTCTCCAAGAACAATCTTGTTGATTCAAACATTTTAAAATTAGTTTTATGAGAATGTCGAAGGAATTAAGAATACCTTGCTTTATATTTATATTTTCATTCAGTTTATTTTATTTATTTTT